AATATAATAGTCTTATGTAAAAAAAAGTTCAATTACCGAAAAATATGAAAACTAATTTTGCGGTCTGCAACTAGTGAATATGTTGCAGACCGGATTTGTGTGTTGTTGCGGTCTGTAACTAGTAAATATGTTGCAGACCGAATTTGTGTGTTTGTTGCCACAGAGATAAAGCGAGTCAAAATATATGAAAACTTGCTTTAAGTGCGTTGAGAACAGAGCTTTCAAATCAAACAAAACATTTACTATCACATGAGGCATTCTTAATTACATAAAATGCATTTATATTTCCCAAAAATTAGTGTTTTACGGGTAATAAAATGTTTACTAAAAGGAGTTTGCAAAGCAAAAGTGTCGTGTAAATGTCAGTTTTTTTGTAAAATTGTTTTAAAAAATGACGCTAAAAATTCAAACCCGCATCAATGATGTATATTATTACTAGATGTTTAATTTGCAGGATTTTATTGGACAAAAAATAAAGGCGCTTTTTTTGTTTATAGCAATAGTGCGCGATTTGTAAAAAGAGCATAAGCTTAAGCTGAAGTGTGTAATTAAAGTTAAAAATGCAATTGAAGAGTTCCCATTAAATTAAAGATAATTCAAAAACAAATTTTTATAATTATAAAGTACTTATAAAAGTTTTTTTATAAGCCTACGTTTATTAAAAAGTACTTTAATTTATAAAAATGCTTCAAAAGCGTCTGTCGTTTTACTTTTCTATTAAAAACTTTCATCCCTTTTTAATTAAAAATAAATTAAGAAATCATAATTATTATTTTACAAGTATTATAATTTTCGTTTAACACTTTTACGTAATTAGTATTTACATTTAAAATATATTTACTTCATTTAGGAAAGAAAAGTTAAAAATATTTGTTTACAAATTTAATCTGCCATTTGTAAAAAGGACAAAAAGCCGCTTCACTTTTCGGATCGATGTTAGACATCTAGTTATATAATTTATCATTGACCCAGAATTGATTGAAATAGAATTTCAATAATTGTGAGCGATTTGATCTATAGCAAAGCGTTTATCTATTTAAACGTCCTTTGTTTAATTAAACAGTATTTGTTTGTTGACAATTGAGTAATAAGAAATACTTTTAAAATGTTGCAAAGCTTCACAGCAAGTTCATTGCGAAGAAGATAAAATTTCAGTTATTTTTAATGGCTCATTTGAAAATCTCAGCTAATACCTTCAGTTGTTTTACAGTCTTGAATTTTAACTGCAGACTTGAATGACTTGAATGAACTATGCAAAGGCATTTTTCTTTTAATGTAATTATGCATGTCAATGTTAGCGCAGTTAAAAAATAAATAAAAAGGTTTTTAAAATGATCTAATGGTGATGATGGAGTAGGTTGATCTAACGCAAATGAATAATGTTGACCTTATATTAAAACTTATTTTAAACAATTTAATTTTTTTCATTTGCGTTACAGAGTTTTGTGTTTTAAAATGTTGCGAAAAAAAATAAATAAATAAAAGCAAGAACTGACCAAAAAACAAGTAAAAAAAAACAAGTATGGTAAAAAAAAAAAAAAAGGATAAGTACGGTAAAAAAACAAAACAAATGCATTCAAATTTACATCTATCAAGTTTTTTAATAATTCTGGAGAATTGTATTTTTTAAGTTGCATTGTCCTGCTTTAAGATGCAATACTCTATGTGCCAAAAAATTATTTGTCTAAAAAAATTTTAAATTGAATCTGAAATATAGTTCTTAAGGAACATTATTAAGGTGTGAAAATCCTTTTTAGTTTTTAGTTTGTTTCATTGAAAGCTGTAACAAACTACTTTAGTCACATCATAACTATTTTTTGCAATGTTTACTCAAACACCTATTAATGCTACACACTGTTTTTCTTCGTGTTTTGGCATAACCGAAAAATCAAAAAAAAAGTAAAAAAAAAAGAGTTTTGTTACAAAATAATTCAGTAATTTAAATTAAATAATTATACTGATAATAATCTATAATTAATAAGAAAATTAATATTAATAATTATACTGATAATATCTATTTAGTTGTGCAAATAATTGATATAATTAAGTTAGTTAAGAAAATAGGATTTCCCTTTTTTAATTTTTTATTTTGTATTGTTTATTTACAATTTTTAAATTTTCTTAAAAATAAAGGAGATTTTCACAACATTTTCTACGGCAACTATTTACATAATCGCAAGTTACGCCTCTAAATTCTTCAACACAACTTTTATTAGGCCTAAGTTAAAAGCTAGAATCCGCGAATTTGGTTTAAGGATATTTTTTCAGATTTATAAAGTTTGGATGTAACAAATAAAAATAAAAAAAATTAGACAAATGCAGAGGATGTTTATCTGATAAACAAATGTTAAAAGCAAACCTTTAAAATTGTGCTCATTGGGCCAGCATATAACAAAAAATAGCAAAACTACAAAACGTATAATCTTATTATACATCTAATTGTATGTTTTTAGGCTCAGGGAATCCATTTCTGGCATCAAAATTAGATTTTTATTACTTTGAACGACGGGTTGTTTAGTGGGGCAATTTTGATTTTTTGGTTTTGCAGATTTGACACTTTCAGTAGATGTGCAAACTCCAAACTTAAGTATGTCTATGGTTATGTCAAATAATAACCTTTTGCAAAAAATTCCGGTGACTGGACTCTGGAAACGAAAATACCCAAAAAGTTATTTCTCTTACCCCAAAAGTGAGTGCTATGAGTTAATAACTTAATTTTTGTTACAGTTTTATACTAAATTAAACTAAATTAACAGGTTTTAAATTTCACGGTCATCTCGCTGTATTCTCTTTGGCTCCATTGCGCAATATTTGATAATCATTCTTGGATAATTTGCATTGCAATACAAAAGCAAGTGCTTCATTTTTACTATAACAACCACCCTGCTGTACTATTCTATCATATTTACTACTGAGTTTTTCCTGCAGTACCTGAGCATTTTTTATCTTTCCATTTGTCTCGAGATTCGTCATAGCAGAAGAAAACAGCTCATCTGTGGACTTTTGGCTGCATAATTCTATCAAATTTTTTTTTCTCTGTCTAGTGCGGTCTACAAGAAAAAATTCTACTGTTGGTCTCCCTCGTTTTAAAAATTAACGAGGCATTAATAAAAATTTATCTAGTTATTTCTAGAAGAGCATAATATCTTCATGATTAGACACTCAGTTATAATTAGGGATGTCATACAGGACAATAAAAAACTATGGGTAAACCTGAGTAAAAAATACAAAACTCCTAACAAATACAATGTGAATTTAGGTAAAGCTACAGTTTAGCGCTCTGAAATAATTTTATATTTTCATTTGTTGCGCTCTCGATAGTGGAGGATTTTAAAACATTAGAAATTTTAATTATAATAATAAATAATAAAAGAAAAAAGATTGCTGCCTATGCTGAATCCTCAGTCAATGTAGCAGCACTTCCTTGTAGAAGCAGACAATAAGATAGTTGATGTTGCAACACTCCCTTGTGGCACCAGGCTATAAAATAATGGAGTAGAAGGACTCCTTTGTGGCGGCACTTGCTAGTGGCGGCAGGTTATGAGGTAGTCGATGTATGTACTGAAGCCTATAAATATTCTGTTTATATTAAAAGGTCACCGCTTTGAGTGAGTCTCCACACGAAAGTGTGGAGACTATGTGCATAAGGGACGTATTTTTACTAAAGCTAATGTAAAGTCTGCATAGGCAAAATTTTACCGGTATGCCATCATAGGTGCTATGCCATCATAGGTACCTTTCCTCTACTTATAATTTGTTTTGTCCAATAATTATTTTTTGATTGCTTTAGAGAAATTCATCAACAAGCTTTGTTGATGGTTTTAATATATGTTTTGTTTTGTTATAATTCATAAGCGTTAATTACAAACAACTAATAAATCATCATAAAAAACTTAATTTAAAAATTGATTTGAACTTACTATTTTATTTTAATATCTACTTTTTTTAAAGCCTATTTTAGCAGCTGATATGGTTACAAACTTTATTTAGACAACTGACAAATTTTAATATGTTGCAAAAAGTTTAAACCTTTATATTTATTTTATATTTACATAAACATTGTAGTTTTTTTTTTTTTTTTTTTTTTTTTTTTTTTTTTTTTTTTTGGAGGGGAGGGGGAGGGGAAAGAGGGCCTTTAATTGCTTGCATTCAGAACAAAATCCCCCGTCTCGCTTATTTTATACAAAACATTGTTTAATTTAAATCCTTTATTAAAATTTGTTTTCAAGGTTTTATTTTTGTCGTATTCTAAATAAAAATATTTCTACTATCATTTTGAACAACTTAATTGTAAACGCAAAAAAAAAATCGACGCTTTTATTCCCACATCATTAGCGTATTTTAACTGTATGCAAAAAAACTTGAATCGAGAGGAGTATAGTAAACTTAAAAATTTAAAAAAAGCTTTGAAAAAAATTATTAGTAAACAACAAGAAAATTAGTTGAATAGAGACAACTGCTTTTTGCTAATAAAAATAAAGTTCAATTATAACATTTTGCATTTATATTTTTTCGATTCAAAGACTTCAATTTTAAAAAATCTTTTTTGAGGACTTTTCTATGAATATTTTTGAGGGCTTTTCGAGAGATATTTTTGAGGGCTTTTTGAGAGATATTTTTGAGGGTTTTTCGAGAGACATTTTTTAGCACTTTTCGAGAGATATTTAAAAAGAAATTTTTTTTTTTTGTTTAGCTTTCTGTTGTTCTTTTTTATGCTACAGGGAGGGTGGGGGAAGAGTGTAGGGAAAACTTAGGTACTTATATATTAAACTTTTAGTCTATGCAATATTTATAACGTCTGATTTTTTATGTTTAAACGTTGACAATATGTTCTATTTTTTGTTGTCATGACGTAGCTGTTTTATTATTTTACGTTTTATTTTTTTTTTATAGTATAGTTTTCAAATAATCATAATTTTCAAATAACTTTTTAAATAATATTCTAAATTAATATTCTTTAGTTGTACAGTACTATACTAAACATTATTTTTTTTTTCTAGATAACTTGATCCAACAATGAGGCCTTCAATGCACTCCTTGTTAAACAATGGCCTTTATACTGCTTTACCAACTTCATTTTTTAATAGTACGACACCTAGTTCTGATTGTACATTGCCATCCGTTAAAGCGTTGTCATTTTTTTTACCCGCAATGATTGGTGGCGCATTTCTTAGCATTACAACAATCTTTGGAAATCTTTTAATTATTTTGGCTTATTTTAGAAACAAAAAAATTAGAAGCCTATCAAATGTTCCAATACTTTCATTAGCATTTACAGATATGTTTATCGGATTTTTTCCTGTAACCATGAACATTATGGAAATGTCTATGGGGTACTGGCCTCTTGGAAAAGAATTTTGTAATGTGGCACTTGTTTTAGACTACGTTTCAATTCAATCTTCAATAAATCATATTGTTTTGATTAATTTTGATAGGTATCTTTCAATAAAATCTCCAATGAAACATCGATTACACCAAAAAACATCAAAAGTCATTACTAAATTATTCACAGTGTGGTTAATAGCTGTAATAGTATGGGTACCATATATTAACATTTATAAACATATAGTAAGAAAAGAAAATTTAGATGATAAACAATGCTACAAGCAGTTTTCTAAAGGTCACGATTTCGACTTTAAAAGATACGCTTCTATTACAACGTCAGTAATAGGATACTTTCTACCGCTCGGTATTGTAATTATAACGTATTGGAAAATGTATTTTATTGTAAGACAACAACTCTATGAAGTGCCTAAATTTTATTATACTCTAAATGCAGAAAGTAAGTTTTCTGCAGAAACGACTAAATGGAAACAATCATTTCCATTGTCCGATGAAATGCCAGATAATTCTGCCGATATGCAAAAAAATCTAGATTTAATAAAGAAACGTAAGAGAATACTTAGACATAAAAAAGCATTGCGTATGATTGCAAGCATAATATCAGCTTTTGTAATTACTGGGTTACCTCTTAATGCACAATGGCTATTGGTTGGTATGTGCCCGACATGTTATTACAAAACATTATTTGACATTTGCAACTTTTTAACATATCCAAATTCTACAGTTAATCCTTTTCTTTACGCATACGTAAGTCGAACATTTCGTCTAGAGTTCAAGAAGATATTACTCTGTAAATTTTTCAGAAATTATTTTTCTGATTCTAAATAAAACACGTCAATTATCGTGTAAATTATAATCCAAAGAAACTATCAAGAAGCGAATCGACGTAATTTACGCGTGCTTATTCCTGTTAACGGAACAATCACGAAGCGAATCGATTTAACTTAATATGGTTTCTGCAATTCAGTTTAAAACGTGTTAAAAGCATGCAGTTTAAACGAAAAAAAAAATCATACATGTAGTACATGTATGGGTACAAATATAGATTTTTTATAAATTAAAACTAATTTCTAATTGAAAAAAATTTTAAAATGTTTATAATTCAAAAACTAAATAAATTAAAAAATCTTATTTTACGTCATGTCCAAGCATTTTCTGAACCGAATAAAAAATTTCTTTACTTTTTGTCAAAAAAGATTATTTTCAATTTATTTTGTTTTTATTGAAAGAATCTATATTTAAATTTATTTTAAAATTTTTTAAAAAGATTAAATATAGTTTTTAAATTTTTTTTTGTTAAACTTTTAATTTTTTCTTCTTTTATTTTCCTTTTTTAAATGTCGAATTTTAAATTTACTTGTTTATTGTATTTTTAATTTAAGGCAAGTTGTAGTTTTGATTTTAGGAAAGTCTTTAGAAACTGAGTTTTGTGCTTAAAAAAAAGTTAGCGACGGGAAGTAGGGAAAAGGCGCCTATGATGGCATACTTAACTTTTGAAGCTTTATTATTCAGTATCCTGAAGACCAAGAACAAAAGTTTTGATATGGATACATTCTTTGTTACATATAGAACAACAATAACCCTAGAAGTTTTCATCAGTTTTATTTTTTTATTAGTTATTTTTATTAACAAGTATGCCATCATAGGCAACTACTGCTCCTATGATGGCATAGCGGAGGATGGGGCTGGTTAGCATCAAGGGTAACTTGACAATTTTGTTAAACCTTAAAGTCTACCCTCATAAATGCCAAAAATTATGTGTAATCATCCTAATTAACCTTTTCGTGCTGCACAGCAGCATTGTAGAATTTCACGCGTGCGCGTGAAATTTAAGTTGTTTTTAACAACTTACACTTAAGACCAATGACAAGGTGAAGTTGAACTAATCAAAAAAAGGCATACAACATAAAAACAATATATAACAAAAGTACAACACACAAGATAGGCGTACCAAAGGTAACTTTTTTCAAGGGTGTAAAAGACAAAGTTAAATCTTGTTCTTTTTTTAAATAATATTAAACTACATAAATTTTTTATTTCAAAAGTAAAAATAAGTTTTTCATAAAACATTTATTATGAATTTTATAGTCAAAAGAAGTTTAAAAAGTTTTTTGTTATTTACAAAAAACTCTAAAAAATGCTTTATTTAAACTAAAATGACTTTTTAGTTTAAATAAAAGTTAGTATGTTATGAAAAGTTGATTCCAATAAATATATGTTCATATCCATAGTTTTTAAGTAAATTTTTTTCGCGTACTAAAAGTACTAAATTTAACTTTAAACCACATAGACATATAAACTCCACAATGAACTCAATTATTAATTTAATGTCTTTTTAAATTCTCGCCTTCCAACTCATATATTGAGACCTGGATCATGTTTTCAAAACTTGTTAGTAGTTGTCAACTATCTGGAATGATTAACTGGCCCAATTTCAAGTAAAATTAAGTCTGTAGGTATATTTCCACTTCTAATGGCAGAGATTTTTTTATACCCATAAAACTGATCGGAGGATAATTTTTTGATTTTTTAGTGTAACAAGAGAATTTCTGCCATATTTTTTCTTGAAAGGATTGATTAATTTTGTCGAACCTTCAACTATTAATTGAACTTTTGTATTATCAATTCTGTCATAAAAAAAAAAACACAATCAACAATGCTAGTTCTGCATTGAGTATGAAACTTTATAGAAAGAGACTGTATAATTTTTTCTTGAGCTTGCTTGACTTGTGATCAATAACTAACTTGGCATTGTCTTCTTTAATTACTCCTGCATCCATTCAAGCTGCCTTCGCTATTGCAGCTGTTTTTCGTAGGTCTGTACCATACTGTATGTTTGCTAAAGCTATGTGAAATGTTACGAGGACAAAGGAAAATCTTTTGTCCTCGTAAACGTTCCTAAACTTTATTTTGTCGACATATTTGATTGAGTTAAGTTTTGCTGATTGTTATACAACATTCATTACCAAAGAGTTCCTCTGTTTTTCTAAATTCAAATTCCAACCTTTCTTCATGACTTCTAATTGTTTGTTGCAGTTCTTCAGATGCTTCTTTTTAATTATAGATGAAGTAATTGAATTATCATTAAATAATGTTTTTTAAATTACTTTAAGTACAAGTAGTTTTAATTAAATATTTTTTTTATCTGTTATGTCTTAACTTAAGTAAAATACAAGTGGTTGTGTAACAATAGTTTTTTTTGAATTTTTTTTGAAATTAACTTTCATTTATTAACTAATAACTAATTAAAAACATAACTAATTAAAAATCTTACTTATTTCTTCAATCTTCTTTTTCTAATTTAATGTAGCTTTTTGTTTTCTTTTAAGTCTGCTAAACCAATATGATGTGTACCGGTATGATATGAAGTGTACCGGATGTCGGTCCCGGTACAGGTAGTTTATATTTAAGCTCTTCGCCCAAGTATAAAAAACTTTTTTTTTACGCTGCTGCTCGCGCAACATTACCGTCGCTTTTAAAGTCACGGTAGTGATTTCTGATTGGTTGATTTTTTTTTATTTTATTTTAAGAATGCATGCCCAAACAAAACCCTTAATTGATGTATGTACACTCACTGTGCCTATCCCTAAATCAGTCGAAGTTTGTAAATAATAAACATAAATGTAACTTTCAATATACAACAATAATAAAAACTTTTAATAAAAAAATTGTTAAAAAATATTTTAAAATGTTTTTCAGAATGTAGGACTTGATCCCGGAACTCCGTGAGTAAAAACAATTGAGATTTTTCAATGCTAAACGCACAAATTCTTCTAAATTTTGTTCAAATTAAACTGTCAAAATCAACCAATCATATTTGCAGCCGTGACTTAAAATAAACCAATCAAACTTTACTATTGTGACTTTAAGATAAAAAATTAAAGCAACGGTACCTTTGCTTTAATTATTTTATTATGTACCGTTGCGCTAGACACAACGTTTTTTTAATCGTTTTTTTACGTATATTTTTTAAAATATTTTTTTATGTACAAAAATAACATAGAAACTGTTCGTTGGAAAATTTATTAACGGCAACTTTTTATAATTTTGGCATCACATATCACACAAAGATTTCAAAGCGAGTGGGTGTAATCAAATACTTGCGTTTAAAAATGCGTGGATGCAAAACAGTATCTGTGGTTAGGATCAAAGCTAATTACGAAATATATACTATTAAAATGCAATTTTAAAACACAATTCCTGCAAGCTTAACATTTTTTTTTTTTTTTTTTGGTTTTAGTTTTAAATTATTTGTTCAAAAGTTTTCTAAATACTGGATAAGCACTGGCGTTACCGCATTGGCGCTCAGCACAAAAGCGATTTTTTTTGATTATGCGATAAAAAGCGGTAATAAATCGCATTGAATTGCACGCGATTTTTTAGATAAAAATATATCGCCCGGAGATTTGCTCTATAAAAATTGCTTTGCAATTTATCACATCAGCGATTTTTTAAAAAAAATCCTGCTATTTGCGGTTTTTGGCGATTTGTTGGATTTATCATAAATCATTTATGGCTTATAAACTATATTATAAATTATAAACAAAAACACCTAAAAACAAAAAAATTTACAAGGACTACAAAAATCTATTTGAAAAAATTCGCAAAAATCTAAAAAAAATTATTACTCCCAATTACTCAATACATTTAAAAATGACACAAAACGCACATGGCAAATAATGAATGAAATTATTGGAAAACAAAAATCATGCTCATGTTTTCTGCCACAAATGGTTAGAGTCAATAACAAAAGTTTATACGAACCAAGAACTATAGCTCAAGAATTTAACAAATTTTTTATCGATATAGGTCCAACACTTTCTAAAAAAATCCCTAAGACCAAATCTTTATTTACTGATTTTCTAGTACCCATTGATAATTGCATTTGTTCAGTTGAGTTGTCTTCTGAATTATTGTTTGAAGAGTTTGAAAGAGCCTTCAAATCGTTAAAAAAAAATAAAGCAATTGGAGCAGATCAAATAAATGGAAACGTTATTATAGATCATTTTGAACAGCTAAAAGTTGTTCCTTTTTAAAGTTTTTAAAGCTTCTATCCATCGAGGTGTTTTCCCCGAACTGTTAAAAATTGCCAAAATTATTCCTATTTTCAAAGAAGGGGACAAATCAATTATTAGTAACTATCGCCCTATTTCTGTTTTTTCCACATTTTCAAAAATTTTAGAAAGAATTATATATAACAGAGTATACAAATATTTTCACGTTAATAAATTACTTTACATTAATCAATTCGGTTTTGAAAAGGATAGCTCAACTGAACATGCAATTATCCAATTTGTTCGTGAAATCTCTGAAATCATTTGAAAAATCACAATATACTCTAGGACTTTTTATTAATCTATTAAAAGTTCCGAGTAATGACGGTTATCATACCAATTGTTTTTCTATAACATGTGGAGTCCAACAAGGCTCAATTCTTGGTCCACTCCTTTTCCTAATTTATATTAATGATTTAAGTGAAGCCTCTAAACTATCAAGTATTATGTTTGCAGATGATACTAACTTGTTCCTTTCTAACAGTTATATCTTTGAACTTTTCAAAACAATGAACAAAGAACTTATACATGTATCGAGGTTTAAATGTAATAAGTTAACTCTAAATTCTAATAAAACAAAGTGGACCTTATTCCATTCGCTTTCCAAAAAACGGTACTTGCCATTAAACTTACCTAAAATTTTTATTGATCAAAATGAAATAAAAAGGGATTCCGTTACAAAATTTTTTTAGGTGTTTCTCTTGATGAAAACATCACTTGGAATCATCATATCGACTACATAAGCACTAAAATTTCAAAAAACATCCCAGCAAACATGTAAGCGTTGAATCAACATTGAAAACCAGTCGCAGCGTAGAAAAAGCGTTACAGTCACAAAAACAACGCGCTTTCAACGTTGAATCAATGTCTGTTTTTGTATACTACATCGCGGTAAATTGAAACGTTGAATGGGCGTTGAAATTGTAACGTGATTTAGTCTCTCAAAATAAAACGTTTATTCAACGTGGAATCAACTTACGCAAAAAGCCACTTTAAAAACGTTTCGAAGTTTATGCTTTATCAACGTTAAAAACAAACCGCTTTTTAAACGTTAAATTTTCAACGTTGAATAAGCGTATAAATTTAAACGTATCTTATCTT